ATATTAATTAATTTATTAATAAAGATTATACATAATTAAGTGAAAAAGGAGATAATCTATCAGGAGGCTAATAAAAAAGAATCAATCTAGCTAGAGCTGTTTATAAAGAAGCAGATATTTATTTATTTGATGATCCATTAAGTGCACTTGATATTAAAGTCAAATGTCATATTTATAAAGAATGTTTTCTTAAATTTCTTAATGGTAAAACAAGAATATTATTTACAAATCAATTGACAAATCTATAAGGAGTAGATTAAATCTATTTATTATAAAATGATACATTGGTTCCTTATAATCCTAAAATTTCAATAGAAGAAGATAAATTAAATTTAATTAATATATAGTTTGAAAATAATCATTTTGAAGATAAAGAACCATAATCAAAAGCTTCTTTTACTTTAATTAATGAAGATTAAAGAATTGGAAATATAGATACATAAGTTATCAAAACTATTTTTTAATTCTAAGGAGGTATTTGGGCAATATTTGCTATTATTACTTATTTTAGTGTTCTTATGATATTATCAACATTTTCAAGCAAGATTTTATCAAATCCTGAATTAGAACCTGATGAATTTAGAATAATTGCCTTAAAAAACTTTCCCCTTTTTAATATTCCAATATATATTGCTATTATCTCTATAACAGGATATTTCTTATTAATTGGTATAAAGACTAGTTCCATTATTCATAAGAATATTTTTATTTCTTTAATGAAAGCATCATTTACTTAATTCTATAATCAAATTTTGATTGGTAGATTAATGAATAGATTAAGTAAGGATATTTACAATATTGATATGCTATTTCCTAATCAAATATACAATTTAAGCATTTAATTTACTAATTTAATAATGCCTTTGATTACTAGTTTAATATTTTTAAATTACATTGCTTATCCAATTGTATTAATTTTTGTTATAATTCTTCTTCTCTTTACAATATAATACTATAAATGTTTAACAGAAATGACTCGTATAGAATCAGTATCAAAAAGTCCTGTATTTTCATATTATTAATAAATTATGAGAGGTCTTTTGTTTGTTAGATCATGTCTTCCTAAAAAGTATGTACTCTAAAATCATTATAATAATATTGATTTAGATTTAGGAAATTAAATGTATTTGGCAGGATTATAATAATGGTTTTCATAAGCTTCTAGTATTATTACTAATATCTTTTAAACTATTTTATTTATAGTATGTCTTCTATTTCCAAATGATAATCCAGCTATGACTTATTTAATAGTAATTTAAATGTCTAATGTATCTTAATTATTAGTTTCAGTAGCTATCAGTTATGGTAATTTATTAATGTATTCAATATCTTTTGAAAGATGTTTACATTTATCAAATGATATTGAATATGATGATTATGCATAAGGTAATATAAATTCAAAATCAATTGGATCAATTACTTTATCAAATGCATCATTTCAATATCCAAACAATTAGAAAGATGTATTATCTAATATTAGTTTAACAATTGAATCTGGTTAGAAAATAGGAATAGTTGGTAGAACTGGTGCTGGTAAGAGTTCAATTATAATGGCATTAATGAGAATGATTCATATAACAAATGGTGATGTACAAGTTGATGAAATAGATCTTAATGATTATACATTATAGGAACTCAGAAAGAAATATAGTGTTATTCCTCAAGAAGCATTAATATATAAGGGAACTTTAAAAGAAAATCTTGATCCTTATGGATTAGTTGATGATTCAAATTTAGAAAAGATTTGTAAAGCTTGTTAACTTTATAATATGAAATCATTTTAAGATTATAGATTAAATACATAAATATAATAAAGTGGTTGTAATTTGAGTTTAGGAGAAAAATAATTGATTACAATAGCAAGATGTATGATTGAAAATAGAAAAATTATATTAGTAGATGAAGCAACTGCAAATATAGATAATCCAACTGAGGAATTAATAAAAAATGTAATATATAATAAATAAATTTAGATTTTTAAAGTACATTTTAAAAATTAAACTATGATTACTATTGCCCATAAAGTTTCAACAATTATGGATTCTGATAAAATTGTTGTTTTGAGTGCAGGATAAATTATTGAATGTGATTCACCAAATAATTTACTTAAGTAACCTTAGAGTGAATTTAGATAAATAGTAGATTTAATAAATAAGAATTTATGATTTATATGAAAATATATAAATATATTATTAATTAATTAATTTATTGATTATATATGAATTAATATAAAAAATTTGATTATTAAGAATTTAATTATGAAATAATATATTCAATAATAAGAATATTATATAATATACTATATTAATAGATAATAAAAATATGAATTTAAAATATAATTGATATAAGAGAATTTGTAATAAATTTTCATTATTCTTCATAAAATGACCATCCTGTAATCTTATTTTTATTTTCATCAGTATCCATAAAATTAATTCTTAAAGGTACATTATTAAATGTTTATTCTGTTGGTTTAGGTGGTTTTAATTTTCTATCATAACAATCTTTCCAATTAATATTTGATAACCAAGAATGTTCACGAACTTCTTCTCCATCTAAATTAGATCCTAATCTTTTATTTGGATCTCTATTTAATAACTTAAATAATAATAATAATAATAATAATTTACAGCTACTATAAATGATTTTGCTTCATTAGATAAACTTCTTGGTATTTTTAATGGTCCTTTTCTAATATTATCAAATAATTATTCACGTTCATTAGCATAATATGGAGGAATACCAACCAATAATTCATATGTCATTACACCTAAACCATACCAATCTGCCATTCTATTATGTCCTTATTTAGATAATATTTCAGGTGGTAAATATGCAGGTGAACCACAAAATGATTTATTTAATTCTTCATCTGTTACTCCTTTTTTAGATAATCCAAAATCTGTTAATAAAGCATGACCTTCTGAATCTAATACTACATTTTCTGGTTTTAAATCTCTAAATATAATATTGTTTTTATGTAAACATTCAATAGCTAATAATATTTCTGCTACATATATTTTAGCATCTTCTTCTGGTAATTTTCTCTTTATATCTAATAATTTAGAAAGATCACCTCCAGGACAAAAATCCATTACTAAAAATAATTTAGATTCTGTTTAAAATGCATAATTCAATTTAACTATAAATGGATGATGCATTACACTTAATACTTCTTTTTCTGTCTCTGCATATTTTAATAAATTTTATGACATCATTCTTTCTTTCTTTAATATTTTCATAGCAAATAATTTCTTATTTTCTGATCCAATTTTATCTACTAAATATACTTCTCCAAAAGATCCTTTTCCCAATAATTAATAAAAATTAAACATATTTGGTGTCATTTTATATTTTAAAAGATTAACATTTTAAAATTTAGCTAGATTTTAAAATTTCCAAATTTTCTTATTAGTATTATTTGTATTAGTAACTTAATTAAAACTATTTGTACTAGATTATCCTTCATTCTATTTCTCCTTTGTCATCAATTTCATTACATGATCATATCTACTATTCCTTAATAAAAAATTAGTACCAGGTATTATTGTTCTTTCATAACTCTTATTATAATATCAAATATAATTACTTCTTCATTATGAACATATCCATATTTTATATAGATTTATAAACTATTTGCATCACAACAAATTTGGATACAATTCTAATTATAAAAATTTCTTATATTTGGATCAGCCTTCTTATCTAATAGAAATGCTATCATATCAGTTGATCCCATTTAAGATGCTATATGTAATGGAGTATTGCCATCCTTATCTTATATATTGATATTGGCGTTATGTTGCAACAAAACATTTGCACAATCTATGTAATTCTACATTACTGTCAAAAAGAATGGGGTTCTTTAAAATTTAGTTAATGCATCAACTGTTGCTCCATGTTTTATTAAAATGTTCACTATTTCTAAATTACCTTCATTTGATGCAAAATGCAAAGCTGTCCAATCATCAAGACCTCTTAATATTATTTATGAATTTAGAATACTTTGTATCAACATCAAGATAATATTCAATTGTAGGTATTAATAATGTCTCTATTGATTATGCATCACCTAATTCTGCATAGTCTAAAAGATGTTCATTCATTTTTTTGGTTAACAATCTATATAGTATTATTTTAGTACATAAAATCATTCCATGCTTGATCCTTGGTAAAATTAACCGTATTACCATTCATTATTTCTTGTATTTCTTTAGCTTACTTAATAAATAGAAAATTTGATACTTCTGGAATTCGCATGTCAAAAATTCTGCCTGAATCCTTATCAATCATATAAAACATCCTTTCTTCATTTGGCATATTGTAAAATTTCTATAATTAGTTTTCTTTATGTTATGTATATCGTACATCAAACACTTATTATAATATAGGCATTTAATCCCTTAAGGTAATAATCTCATTACATCATCAAGTCCATATTTTCATTTTAATTAATGAAAACATCACAATTTTCCATTGAATAAAATGTTTAGTTAGAGTATCTAGTTAATTTACTAGGTCTATATTCTGGCTAGCCTTAAGGAATTTACATAATCTTTATTTGTAATCGTATATTAATTTTAAATTTATCTAATTATAAAATTTCATTAACATACAGAAATTAAAACAAAATCATATTATATATCTTAAATTTATTAGAAATCCATTCTTAAATTTTATATATTTAATATTAAGTATTCATTTATATTAAATTAACTAACATTAAGTTGTAAATCTATTTATTATACTATTAATTTTTATTTTAGACTGACATTTGTGTATTTTGTTAATTAATATAATTTATTAATATAAATTTAACTTATATAGATGTGATAAGTTCTTTATTATTTTAATTTATATATTATAAATGAGTTTACAATTAAACTTAATAGAAAATATATATAAATTTTTTTGGTTATTTATTAAAGAGATAGATAGATTTATAGATTATATATATATATATAGATAGAGAATTAAAGATGAAAATTAAAAATAAATACTCAAGTATAACCTAAAAGTTGATCACTTTTTTTACGTAATCCAAAAGCAGAACAACTAAATTAATATATAATAATATTATTACATTTTTCTATTAGTAGATTTAGCTGTATGAATTCTATGTGGTATTTAGAATTAAGAGAATATATCTTAATTTTCAATTTATTATGTTTATAATGTGTTTTGACTCATAGCTCCACTCATTTTTCTTCTTAATTTAGCCTTTAATTATCTACTTTATGGATTCCATGATCTTTAAATAAGTGGTACAGTATTGGTTGTGGAAGTAACAAATGTAGGAGATGTTTAATGAGGTTCTGATGATGTAATTTAAAGTATAGTTTCTAGAGATGAAAATCTTTACATTTTTTTAGATTTTGTACTTACAGCACTTGAAACTCTACTAGTTAAAATTTAATTATCATCTAGATGAGTAGTTTTAACTCTCTATTTCTTTTCAGCTCCAGTCCAAATTTTTCTGGATACTCTATCTCTAATTTATTCAATTAGATTTGTATCAACCATTAAAAATTTAGTTTTAGCATCAGTTGGTAATTTCTTTTAATGATATAACATATTTTAATGTGCAATTTCAGTTTAAAGTAGTATTTTAGGTTTTTATGAACGAATATCATTCTTATCTGGTCTATCATGTGGATCTTTAAATATTTCTTATACAGTTTTTCTTTCAGTAATCATTAATTATGGTTATTCTTTTTATGAATTATCATGTTATTATAATATTGATATGATATTATTTTATCTATTATTCATATATTCAGAAATTAAAGAACTTTTGTCTTTCAATAATTTAACAATTTCTGGAAAATTCTTTTTTAAATTATTGAAATCATTAGCTTCCATAAAATAAGCTGTTGTATTATCTAAAACTTAACAAGAATATAATCTATAAGGAAGTGATTCAATTATTTCTTCTTAACCAACAAATGAATTATCTGATAATTAACTTAAAATGATCTTTTTTTTCTTTTTATTATTAGATTAATTTATTATATCTTCTGAAATCTATCTATATAATTATACTCTTCCTTTTAAAATTAAGAAATAGAATTTAGGTTCATCTCCTTCTTTCCATAATATTGCTTATGCTGAAAATTATATAGTTCTTAAATTCTATATAAATTTGGTAACTGTAAATTTGCTAGCTCCATTAAATAATTTCATAAAATAATCCACATTAGCATTCTATTCTTGAATCTATTTCTCACAAACTTATTTATAATCATGTTTATTCATTGATATTAAATGTGCTTCCTCTGATACTACTATTATACTTGCAGATCTTGGTTAATCATGAATAAGTGCTTAATCACCAAAACATTGACCTGAATAATATTACCATACTTTTTTAAACAAAGGTACTCCATTATTATAATACATATTATTATCTATTAACATTCTTAAAGCTAAATCAAATTTGTTTAATTAATTCAAAACAACTGTTTTCTTTTTCTTTTATATATTATTTACTACTATATTAGTTTCACTAGTCTGCTAACTTAAAAATTCTAAATCCTTTTAAATATCCTCATTTGATCTCTTCATATATACACCTACTTCACCATTTAATAATAAGTAAAATCTATCTCCATAATCTCCTTAATTCATTATTGTTTGGCCAAAACTGTAATGTTCATATTTGAAAAATTATGCAGCATACATAGCAAAATCTCTAACCTTCATACTCTTTTCACATTATTTCTGTATGAAATCTATTGATGACAAAGTATCAGCCACTTATTCTGCTTAAGCTACTGTATGTAATTAAGTATACATTCTATATACTTATACTGCTGGTTGTAAATTTATTTCATTCTATTTACGAATTTGTTCATGATCAGGTTATTGTTCTGTAATGATTGATCGTTTATTTTTCATTTATTTTTGTTAATTTTTCTATTTTATTTATAAATTTTATACCCTTTTGATATTAATATAATATTCAAATTCATAAAACATTAATATAAGGTTAATCAAATTGTTTCATGATGATAATAAATATTATATTTATATATATATCAATATAATCATATTACATTCACTTAAACATAATAAATAATTATTATGTCTAATATTTCCATTTTAGGTTTAAATGTATTCATTAAAATAAGCTAATTACATCTATTAGCTAATAAAAAATTAAGAATAATATATGTACTTTTTACTTATTAATATTCTAAATTTTATCTTAAATAATAATGAATCAAATAATAAATTGTGAAAACAAATATAAAATAAAAAAGAAGTTTTAAAGAAAAAATAACTTTAAAATCCATATAGTTATTATTTAATAAATAGTAATTTGAATTATTACTTATTATTTATTTAATAGTAATTATTATTTATCTTCAAAATAAATTTAAGAATTTGATATAAATATTAAAATTATTTAAAATGATAGAGAAGATTATAAATAATTGATAGTATGATAGTAAATTATAAATAAAACGAAGTAAATTATGAAAGTCATTAGATTTAAATAAAACCTTCAAAATAAGAAATCAATATTTAGTGTAAGGTTCTTTATTAATTACAATTCTTGGTGCTGCTACTCTTGGTTCAACAGGTGGTTTTTTGGCTTGTTGTGTTTGTATTTAAGGTCTTTTAGGAACTACTACAGGTTTTTGAGCAGATTGAGGTCGAATTTATTATTGTTGTACTTTTTGATTGACTTTTGGAGAATTAATTTGTTAATTTTTAGGTGCAATAATAGATTAAGCTTTAATAGGTTATTAAGGGATTTATTTTAATTTAGGATCTAAGTCTTTATTAGCAATTTCATCTTTAATTTTTCGAATGGCATCTACTTAATCATTTTCTTATTTCTTTTTTTCTGGTTTTGTCCAATCATATATATAATCCAATTAAAGATTCTATTTATGTAGTACTTATTTGAAGAGATTCCTCAAATAATTATAATCTGGTTTTTCTTCGAACTTTAATTTCTTAACATAATTTAAGTACAAAGTCATTTCATCAGGTAATCCTGAACAGAGTTATTCAGTGGTAGTTTTAATTTTCTTTTCTTTGATTAATACATATTTATCATTTTTATTATTGCATGCAAGATTCATCCAGGGTAAAGTACCTTTGGCTAAATAAACAAGAACATAAGCCAAGCCTTCTAGATCATCTCTTCTACTTTATTCATATCCCAAATGAGTATTAATACTTGCATAACGAGCAGTTCCTGTAAGTGGTTTATTTTCTTTGAATGGAATATGACCATCTTTTGTTAAATATCTTTTAGCTAAACCCATATCTACAACATATAGTTTAGATTATTTTTTGCCATATCCCATAAGGAAGTTATCAGGTTTAACATCACGATGTATAAAGGATCTTGAATGCATGAATTCAAGTCTTGAAACCATTTGTTCTGCAAGCATACATACCTTAATTAATATTGATATTACTGTTTTAATAGATAATTTACGATGACATTAAGCAAACAAATCTTCTATTGATTATCCTAATAACTCCATAACTAAATAATTATAATCTCCTTCAGTTGCTGCTCCAAATACTTTTGGAATACCTTAAAAAAATAGTATTTAATAAATACCTTTATCTAATTGTTATGTATCTTAATGAAGGAATGCATAAACTTTGGATTCATATAGAATTTGTGGATATTAACAATTAGTTCTTTCTAATTTGATAGCAAATTCTTCTTTCTGTTTATTTTAAGCAAGATAAATCTCTCCAAAAGCACCCATTCCTAGACGCTATATTAGTTTGTAATTTTATTGTTATAAGTAAGTATTTGATAAGTTTCGGTTGCCCAATGGATTATCCATTATTAATTTACGTTTTTAATGAGAATATTGATTGTAATAATTATATCAGTTACTCTAAGTGCATTCTAAACCAATTAGAATAATATCTAAGATTCTCCGAGAACTGATTTAGTAGATAAAATAGTAATAAATGAGATTAAATAGGACGTAGTTGATTAATTGGATCTAAATTCGTAAACTCCATTTGTAGATTAGATTAATGCATAAGTTGAATAATTGTTAAAAGTGAACGAAATGCAATAGAACCATTCTGAAGATCTCTCACAATATTCCAATAAACATGAATTAATACATTCAGTGTAATATTGGCTAGACAAATTAGATAATGATAAACTCTCTTAAGAGATAACACCTTAAAATGATCTCAATAACCTCTAATAATCTTAAGAATAACAACTAAATTAATCAGATTAGTCTACTCATCATAGCAGATTAGCTAAATATATATAAATTCAATAAGTAGAGCAACAGTAGTAATCAGAAACTATCCAAGAAAATACAATTACTAAAATTGAAGAGACAAACCCTTTAAAATTATTGTTACTCTATTCTGATAATATTAAATAGTAAAATGATGAAGATGATTCACATTAAATGATAATTACAAATGAATAAATTTTAGATCAACTGGAAAAAGAGAAACAAGATAAGATTATCAAAATGTAAAGTCTTATTATTGAACAACTTAAAGACAAAAAACCAGAACCTATAAAAGAAGAGAGTTTCTTAGAAAGAGATTATATTGAATGGGAAATGAAAACATTGACAAGTAACAACAATTTAAGGGCTAAATGAATATATTATTTAATATATATATATATATATATATTATTATTATTCATATTAACAAACAAAAATAAATTTATTTATTATGGAGTATAGATTACCTGTATAACCTAATAGAGATATTCCATAATCAATTGCATAAATTTAATAGGAATAAAGAATCAAATTCTAATTATAATAAATTCAAGCAAAGATTATTGAAGAAAGACCAAATTTTTAAGAAATGCAAGGTGGTTAATCACCAAATAAACCATGGTTAGGAGAAGATATTTATATGGTTGTATTTTTACTTACTGTTGAAAATGATAGATTGAGAGAAGAAAATACTCAGATATAGTAATTACTAAATACTAGTGAAATGAGATATAAAGGAGTAGATTTAGTTGAAAATGAAGTTATATCATAAAGAATAAAAATAGGTGAATATGAAAAGAAATTAGCTCAATTATAAATGGAATGTGAATAATGGAGAGTTAAATATTAAAATAGAGATAAGGAAAATGAGGATTAAAGATATCAAAATGAACTTTAAAGAAGAATTCAAGTAGATAGAGAAATAAGAGAACTTACAGCTAGATTTATTGCAGATAGAAATTAATTAGAATAAGAAAATAGATCATTAAGAATTGAATTAGATTAAATTAAATTATCAAAATATTCTTTTGAAGATCATAAAAAATTATCTGAATAATTATAAAAAGAAAATTAAAAATTGAAATAAGAATTAGATACTTTAAAGTATATTAAAATATTATTTTATTAGAAAAGGTTTTGATGAATTAGAATATGTATTATAAACTGCTGCAGATTTAGAATAAGAAAATTAATAACTTAAAATTTAAATTGATACACTTTAGAAATAAATACAATAATTATAATAATAATAATAATAATAATAATAAATACCTTAAAGACCATAATCATCTAATAGAATTGAATTATGTAATCAAATCTATTATATACTCTAGCCAATTCTAATTATAATGTTATGTAAGAAAATAAGAGATTGAAAGATGAAAATGATAGATTAAGAACATTACTCAATTTAGGAACTGGAAGCTATTCTAAACCATTTATGTGAATTCTATAATTAAAATATTATAATAATTATTCTACTTCTTTCATATCATTATATTTATTTGAAAATAATACACCATAAATAAAAATATTAAATGTAATTTGGAAAACAAAAAGGAATTCAACAAGGAACATCTTGGGAGAAACTTAAAAAATCAATCTATCCAACCAATAAAGCTGAAAGAGAAAAGAGAATTAAACAATTTAGAGATATTGGAATATTTTTAGCTTCCATTATGATTGTTAGTGTTTTTGAAAAAAAAATATAGAACTTGCTTAAAGTTGATAAATCAGAAATTACTTAATTTAGCAATATGTAAAGCTCAATGCATGCAGCCTATTGATTTATTCAATGAATGACAAGATTATATAAAGCAATCCAAATATTTTTATCTCTTATTTAACTCTTCTTAAAAATTAATTTTATCAAAATTCTGAACATATTTTATCATTATTTTAAGATTTCTTTTTATATAATAAATTATTAAGATATATATATATATATTAAATTTCTTATCAAATCTTCACTACATTTAAATTACATAATTAAGTTTAAATACTTTACTTTTTAAATGGAATTCTTATATATGATAAATTATTTATTGAAATTATTTAAAATCATAGCAATAACAATGGAAAGATAATATCAAACTACCACTTCAACTTCATTTTCTCCATCATCTTTAAGTGTTAGATAGGTTTCTTTTTAATTTGATATTTCAGAGCCTTCATAATATAACTTTAAATTGGTTTAATTTAACTTCTATTCAACTTAATAATTTAAATATAAAAATACCTAAATTAAATAAGTTTGAGATTTCAATGTATTAATCAACTTAAATCTTTTAATTTTCTGAAGGTCCATCTATGAGAATCAGATTTAAATTTACAAGTTTTTTATTAATCAAATTTTCTTATCCTTTCAAAATAAAAAGAAATTCACCCTCTTAAAGTATACTTGAAATATTTGAATTTAAGTCAACTTTTTTGTCTTTATATATTATTTCCAGATTTTCAGGTAATTAATATTCAATTAATAATTATTTTCTAATTAATGAGAATTTAATTGTTTCTTTATTATATATTTTAAATTCATTTCTTTATATTCCATCTTTTTAGAATTAAAATTATATCTTAACTTTTTCATTAATTTGAGAGCTTTCTAATTAAATACTTTCATCATTTTGGTTTTATTAATTAATTTATGATGAAAGTATATCATCAGATTAAATTATCACTTCTATCATACTATCATTAGATATTCCAAGATCTTTAAAACTCTTTTCTACATCAATATTTTCACCTTCAAATTTTAAAGTAATATTAGTTTTTCCTTTTGCTAAAAGGTCTTTATAACTTTATGTTTATGATAAGATAGTATATTAATTTTCTTTTATTTTTTAAGGTTATTCAAAATTTTTATCATTTAATTTCATAATAATTATTATTGTGATAATATTTTAATCTTCTGTTCTTAATTCTTCTTAAGAAAGTGACAGATGATTAAATAATGATTTTTCGGTAATACGATCCGAATTATGATATTTATATTTACTGAATTAGTTATCATATAATCCAGAAGATCTTTCTATAGGATTTGATCCTTCTATTTAATCATATACATATTGAATTTTAGCATCTGATTTTGCTAGAATTTATTATTAGTTATTTCCTATAAGATTTTGTTTATTATTACATATAAAAGTTTATGAGGGTTTATCCAATTGATTAATTTTTTGGCTAAATTTTTGGTGTTAATTATCATCATTTATACATTTATATTATAAACAATAATGTGTATTTACAACAAAACCTACCTATTATAATGTTTTGGAATCAGTTTCTAAACATCTTTCATTAATTATAAATTCCACATTAGGACAATTATCATTTTTTTGCTTAATTTCATTTTTTAATTCATCCAAATTTTAATTTATATTATAAATCTTTAGTTCTCTATTAGCTAAATCAAAATAATTAATAATTGTTATATTAATTGTTTCATCTTTATTTTCTTCAATTTCTATTTAATATTATTTCATCTATTCCAATGAAATTGTATTCAAAGTCTATAACTATTCATTACACTTTATATTATTTATGTAATTAGTAGAATATTTATGTTTTTTCCTTAATTGATTTATACAATCTATTAATTTTTGATTAATTTTAACTTTATATTATTCGCTAAAATTATTGAAAATATATTTTAAATTTATTTATTATAAACTATGTATTTTTAAGGTTTAATAATTTGGAATTTATAAGGAATATATTGTTTCTTCCATATTTTCTATTGTATCTAATAAGATTCCAATATTATACAAAATCTAGAATTCTCCTTTAATTTACATTTATTCAATTATTTTCTATTTTATATCTGAAATTTTATCAAATACAGAAAAATCCAACAATTTTTATTAATTATTATTCATTTCAATTTATAAATAAACATTGATCTCATATTCATGTGTTTTATTTAAATCTAGTTAAGAGAATGGCAATGTCTTAGATATTTTTTAATCATTAACGATAATTTTCACATCATATTCAATTTTAAAGTATTTAGTCAATTGTTCTTCTACTTCTTATATGCTGTTATAAATATTTATCTCAAGTGTTTAGATTTATTTTTTATTATGTTTCAATTAAAATTTAATATGCTCACAATATTAAAGAAATAATGTAATTTAACAATCTTATCCAATTTTTAATTCTTCTAATGTTAAATCATTACTTAAAATTTTATCATTTATTGAAGCAGTTGTTAAAGTTGCATCATTACATCCAAAATATTAAGTTATTTAATCAATTACTTATTTCATATTCATATTAGGAGTACTATCAATTGAGAATTGCTTCAAAAATTACTTAGAATATATTTTTAAATTCATTATTATTATAATACATTTATATAATTTTTTTTATTAATTCATATTTATAATTATTCTATACTAAACTTTTTATTTCTATGGGTAGAATTGATTTCATAATTTTCTGGTAGTATAATTTAATCCATTTTTAATATTAATTTAGCAGAAACATAATTCTAAAACAAATTTTTGAATTTTTGAATAATATTTTAAACATTCATTTTTAATTATACATTTATTGTTATTTCATCTTATCTATCTACAATATATAATGTTATTGGTATTAAATTATTATCAGCTATTCTACTTTAATTAATTATAGTGCTTGCTTTTTAATCTGTAAAATATATTATATCTCCATCATTGTAAATTGATAGAATATTTTTATTTAATTCAGGTTAGACATTACGATGTATTAAATTAAACTTATTTGTAGATTCTTTAAATTAAAGTATAAGATTTTATTTTAAATTTTCAAATGTCCAATTATCTTAAACTTCAATAATATGATTTTAATCTCTATAAACAACCAAAACACTTTTCTTAATTATATCATAGACTATGCAATCATTATTCTATGCTCCAATACCTAAAAATGTATGTTCTTTTGTAATCTCTTGATCTCCTAACCATAAATTTGTTTTTTATTCTCCAACTAAATCCTTTATGTATTTATTTATTGCTTCATTTTGGGTAACCTTCTTTATAGTTTTCACTTATGTTTATTTATTCACAAATCCTATTTATATCCAAGAAAAAATTTAACTTTAAGAGATTTCTTTATAATATATAGTTATTTTAGATTCATATTAAATTTCATCCTAATTTGTTAATTGTTTTTGAGAATTGTCATAAAAATGAATGACTTTCTCCTTAAATTAAGATAAATTTTGTAAAAAATCAAGTTTAATAGGACCACTAATCTTTTTTTTAAATTACTATTTTGGATTATCTTTATTTATTAGATATAAATCAGATCTTTATATTTATTCTAATTAAATTATTTCATAATCTTTAAGTTTAAGTTGCTATATTGTTTATTCAGCCAACAACTTCTAATTATCCTTAATTACTTATACTTCTTCAATAATTTAATATAATTATTTTAGATATGTTATTAATTCTTTAAGTTATATACTTTTATTCACTTTAAAACTTTAGGTTTCAAAAGACGATACTATAAGAATTACACTATCTAATAATTTCAATTCTAACTTTTAATTTTAAGGAATAGAATAATTATAATAAATATCACCTTCATTATTTATTACTAATTCATTATAAATAAGTTCAAAATCTAATTCTAAGTTTAGAGTCTATTTAATCATTTTATTTATATTCTTAAAATCTTCATTTAATTATGTTACAAAGCTGTAGATTTCTGATCGATATTCTACTTAAAATGATGGTTTCACTTTACAATTCAATTCACAATCTTTTTCAATTTTATATTTATAGAGTGATTAATATGGTTCCAAGAGTTATTAATTATGATAGAGATCCAAATCATAATTTGCAATTGCAAAATCCTTGTAAATTTGTTTATTTAAACATGCTAATTTGTCATAGATGTTAATTCGTGAAATCTCTTATGATCCAAGCATTTCAATTGAAACTTTTATTTTAATAAAAAAATATAGCTTGACATTTATTTCTGATGAATTGTTAAGTTTAAGATCATTCATTTTAAGTTTTACATCTAATTGATTATTTTAATAAAACACTTCTATCTCTTGAAAAGGTAGTTTTAATATTTCTCTTATTGTTACAATTAATTTTTCCAAATTCTCATTATCATTAATCTAGACTTAGATATCTTATTCAAGATTATCAATATGAACTTTATAAATTGTTTCCATTTTTTTTATATAATATTATAATTAAAGTCTTAGAAAAATTATGATAGTAGTATTGAGATTCTGAATTTATAATAAGGGTTTATACATTAATAGAATACAATTAGTGATTTGAAAAGTAATTCAAGAAGACGATTCAATTATTTATGATTATATATATAACTAATAATAAATATAAGAACTATTTCTTTGAAAAGAATTATTTAATATAGAATTAACTGATTAGAAGAATATAATAAATTAATCTTTGAATATAAAATTAGAATTATCAAAGAATTATTTAAGGAAAGAAACTTTGAATTATAGTAGAATGAGGTTAAAATTAAGAAAATATATAGAAATTTTGAAAGAGTAACAAAAATAAGAATTTAAATAGTTATTCTAAATTACAGAGAATAAATCTATGATTATTTAAACAAAGCTATAAATAGATTAAGTGTTGAAAGTTTGTAAATCAAAATTAATCTAGAAATAGCGATTTATTAATCAAAAATAATATGATTTAAAGAAGAATTTTTAGTATTTTATATATATGCAAAGTATAATTCAAAGTTGGGATTGAAAAATAAACAGAAATTAATTATGAAGAGACATTAATAATACAATTGAAAGATTCCCATTATTTAAGTGTACTAAAATAAATTAAAAATCTAAAGTTCTAACAGTAAAAGTAATCAATTCTATCAAAAATTGGTTAAATACTAATAATAATTCAATCAAAAATACTATTATTATTATAAATCAAAAACATTTACAAATTAAAATGTCATAATATATTTTCTTATCAAAATAATTATTAAAATAATTTAAGAAATAATGGTGATTGTATACATTTTATTTGAATCAATCATTCAATACATATACAAAATAAGGATTATTTAATTGTTATTTAGATATTTACTAAATATATTAAGATATTATAAATAATAAAAAGATTATTAGTATAATTAATATATCTTAGAAGTGAATTCATCAATTAATTTATTCTGTTATTATTAATTATAATTATATATAAAATTATAGATGTAAATCCAAAGATATAATAAATTAAAAAGTAGTATATTTTATTTTAATACTAATTTAGATTCTTTTTTTTTAAATAAATATTTTATATGTGTAAATTTAGGTAAAGATTTTTTTAATAAATTATATTTGTATTGTTAATAAAATTTTTATAACGAAATGAGTGAAGAAATAGAACCTCATATAGCAAGGAAATTTGAAATTATATAAAAATTAGGGAAAGGTGCTTATGGCATAGTGTGGAAAGCAGTAGATAAAAAATTGAAATAGGTATTATTGTATAATTATGGAAGGTCGTTGCGCTAAAAAAAGTATTTGATGCTTTTCATAATGCAACTGATGCTTAAAGAACATTTAGAGAAGTGATGTTTTTGTAGGAATTGAATGGTCATGAAAATATAGTTAGATTACTTAACATCATAAAAGCAGAGAATAATAAGGATCTTTACCTGGTATTTGATTATATGGAAACTGATCTTCATGCTGTAATTGTAATGATTTAATAATAATAAATAAAAGAGAGCAAATATATTAGAAGAGATTCACAAGAAATATATAGTTTACTAAACACTTAAGGCATTAAAATTCATTCATTCAGGAGAATTAATTCATAGAGATTTGAAACCATCAAATATTTTATTGGATTCTGAATGTTTAATAAAAGTAGCTGATTTTGGATTAGCAAGAAGCTTAGCTTAAACAGAAGATGATAGTACTAGATTAATTTTAATATATTTGTAGGTTAATTAGTGTTAACTGAATATGTAGCAACAAGATGGTATAGAGCACCTGAAATTCTGTTAGGATCTACTAAATACTCAAAGGCAGTTGATATGTGGTCAGTAGGATGTATTATAGGCGAATTAATTGTTGGCAAAGCAATTTTTCCAGGGACTTCAACACTTAATCAGATTGAGAGAATTATAGAACTATTAGGAAAACCTTCAGGAGATGAAATATAATCTCTTGATAGTCCCTTAGCTCCTAACATTTTGGCCTCTATAAATACATCTAAGAAAAAACAATTCACTTCTTTTTTCTAAGGTGCTTCAGATGAAGCATTAGATTTAATTAGAAGATTGTTATGTTATAATCCAAATTAAAGATTGACAGCAGAATAAGCATTGAAACATAAATATGTAAGGGATTTTTCTTCTCCAGAAGAAGAGATTGTATGTTAACATCCCATAAAAATAACAATGAATGATAATAAGAAATTTACAATTAAAGAATATAGAGAAGCTTTGTATGCAGATATTAGTTAAAGAAAGAAGGAACAACGAAAAAAATGGTAAGCAAAATATTTATCATAATTGGGAGTAACAATTGATGAGAAACAAAATCAAATTTAATAGGTTCCTTAGAAAGAAGAAACTCTATTAGAGTAAAAACTTTCATAGCCAGATCTCATTCAATAACAAATTTATTAGTAATAATTGTTGTTGCAACAATAACGGAAAGCATAGAGACCACAGTCTGGTTAAATGGGAGGTAGACAATCCTCAGTTGAAATGCCAAAATAATCATAGGCATAACAATAAGCCATAACTACTCAACAACCTACTCATCATAAGAGTAGTTCTATGATTTAATCTATGCAAACTAAATAAGGATACTACTATCCTTTTATTTAATAATAGATGGCTGCCTAAACTAATAAGGTCAACAAATCTGCTGTTTAAAATTAACAGTAATAAACTTAACAAAGACCATCATCAAGTTATTACTAAAAACCTCTGACTTAAGTTACAACTACAGCAGTTAAAAGATGACACATTTAATATTATTATTTTATATTACACATAACTCAATTTATTAACTACATTTTCATAATATTCTTTTAGATTAAACAATATATAATTATTAAATCACTTATATTAAAATAAGTAAACATATAAATAATTCTAAATATTGAGATTTATTGTAATAAAAGATCTATTATTCATACAATACTATTAAGATATCCAATATTTATAAATTAAAACTTATTTGACATAATAAATAATAGCTTTATATATTTATGATGTAAAAAGTCTTTTTTCTGTTTAAATATTAAAATATATTGAAAATTATGTAAATTTAATTTAATATATTATTTAAGCCTTTAGTTTTTATTAATACTATTATTTTAACATTTAATTTTTTATAAAGATAATAATACTCGTTAAGAATCATTCTAGGTTCCTTTATCTCTTAAGAGGTTCTAAATGATTGAAAATAGATTTTCTTACTACAATTTTTTTCAAAAAATTGCATTGAGTATTACTTTTCTAATTTTCTCTTGGAGTTGAATCATCTTCAAGTTAAAAATTACTGAGCTTTTTTCCTGCAATTTTTGTTAGAAAGGAAGATTATTAGGAAGGATTGGTCATTGGACTTTAAGGTGATCTTGGAGTAGAAAAAGGACTACTTTTACATATTGGTGGAGTTAACACAACATTTTAATTTGTAATTGAATTTTTCTTATTTTTTAACTTAAAGCCTTTAAGATTACTTAGATTTTATTCCAAAAACCAAGGATGAATCAAAGCTTCTTATAAATCTATTCTTTTTTATGGATTAGGTTATAGAATGCTATTAATAAATTATAATCCTTTTGGACTCAAATTTAAATTACTAGTTTTGACTTCTCCTTTATAATTTTATTAAACTTTCTGAATTGAATTACCTTCAAAAGGTAAAGATCCACTCAAAGCACAATACATTATAATTCCAATACTATATAAATCAACTTTTAAATCATAAGCACAATCACGTAAAATTTCAGGAGCAACAAATCCAACACTTCCACATCTATTGAATAAATATTTAGATTCTTGATTATAAAAATCAGCTAATCCAAAATCAGTAACACATAAAGTATCCAAATTTCCTTTTTCACGAAATACTATATTATCAGGTTTGAAATCTCGATGGAAGATTCCAAAACTATTAATGTGATTAAGAGATATCAATAGATTATATATAATTTATGCTGTTTATTTCTCAGAAAGAGGAGCATTTTTATCAAGGTATTAACTAAGATTTCCACCTTTAAGTAATTCCATAACTATGTAGATATAACATTAAGTTTCATATAATTCCAATAATGAAACTGTAGAATCGTGATATATTGTTCTTAGAACTTTAATCTCTTTTAATAATGATTATTTGTCTAGATTAGAATTTATAAATGATTTTTCAAACATTTTTACTGCGAAATATTCTTCTGATTGTTTTTTCTTGGCTGAGTAAACCTAATAAATGTTTATAATTAATAAATACTTCTGCAAAGGCACCCTATCCTAATTTCTTTACTAATTAGAATTTCATTTTAAATTCCTCCTAAATGGTGTATCGTTTTATTATTTTAATCAAGTTTTCAATGTCACCACTTATAGAAATAACACTTAGACCTTAGAATAATTATAAAGTGCTTGTTTATTCTCTTGAATTCTTCACAACTTTCATTGTTGAGTTTAAATAACATATCCATTTAATGTCATTCTAAAAATAATGATATCTATTACTTATTTAGTATTAGTTAATATGAACTCATTTTTTATTTAGAGAAGTTTCGTTTTCCATTTACCATTATTTATTTAAATTTTAAGATGAGCAGAAAAGGCAATTGATTAATTATCACATGGACAGTTTTCATAACACCAGTTTGGAAATCTGGTATCGTAAGTATCAGAGAAAAAAGATTAAGTAATAGCCATTTCGTAAATATATTATAGGAATTAAATCTAATACAATCAACTTTTGTATGGTAATTAATTTCATACAGTAAACATGACTATATTATAGTAAATAAATTATACCATAAAATTTAATTTAAAATTAGTTTGTTTGTTTGTTCTATTTGGTAAATATTTATTATTATTATTGATGACGCATTAGGTAATTAAGGTTTTATGGTTAGCAATTCCATTTCATAAACATAATAAATCTTATATTTAATAATATATAGATTTATTATAATACTAATTAATAATTAATAATGAGTGCTTGTAATGTTTATCATGTTGACTAAAACATAATATTTGTGCTCAAAGATAATTAATCAAATGATAAATAGAAACAATAAAGTATGCAATTTACCAATTATAGTCCGCAAAATCAATAAGGAAAAGTTAAAAATAATCTTGTAAATTAGCGGATGCAAAGCAGCTCATTCATATTCTCTTTGTGAGAAAATATTTGAAATGATATTCAGTAAATTGTTGGGTACAAAAACACTCAATACTTTTAGAAAATTTTGATAAACAAAAGAACCATCAACCATTAAATGGATAATCTAATAAACAATTAAATTCAGCTACAATTACTGAAAAACACTTCAAAGAATTAGTATTCAACTCTGTATTCGAAAAAAAATATATAAGAGAAAAAGAAGACCTTTATAAAGAAGATTTTTAAATTGCATGGAGTTTAACAGAGAAAAAATAGCCACTCATAATACTATTTGGCGGTACATCAGGAACTGGTAAAAGTACAGCCAGCAGTATATTAGCTTCAAGATTTGGGATTTCTACAGTCTTAAGGTATTATTATTATACTAAATTTATAGCACGGATTCTATAAGACATATAATGAGAAATTTCTTATCAAAAGAAGAAAATCCTGTTTTATTTGCAAGTACTTATGAAGCTGGTAAGACATTACCTGATCTAAATATAAGTGAATAAAGGAGGATAATAAAAGGATATAAGGCATAATGTGAATTAGTTTAATAGAGATTAGAACATGTAATTAATACTTTTGATGAAAAAATGGATTCAATTATTATTGAAGGAGTACATTTAACACCTATTTTTATGATGAAAATAATGAAAAAATATAAAAGAGTATTACCATTTGCAATTTGTATTAAAAAAGAATCAAAACATAAAGAAAGATTTGCTGTTAGATCTAAATATATGACTTTGGATTCTAGACATAATAAATATGTTGAGAATTTTTAAAATATTAGATTGATTTAAAAATGGTTTTTAGAAAAGGCTGATGAATTTCTTATTCCAAAAGTAGATAATGTTAATATTGATAAAAGTATAGATATTATACATAGAACTATTATTTAATATATGAAACATTTATCAGATGATCAATCTGTTACAGAACTTAAAAATGCTTTGCCTATTTATGAAGAATTCAATAAAGTTATAAGTGATGCATGGAGTTCAAAAGAAGTTAAAGATTATATTCATAGTTAAGTTAATAAAACAGAAATCTATGAATAATTTTTATAAAAGATGAATGAATAATAAGCAGATAATAATACAACTATTACTTAAGAAATAGAAAAAGTCAATCCAAAAGTTTTGATTTAATAATCAGTATAGAAATTCAATGAAATCAGTTTTAAAAATGAAAATAGAGATAATCAAAATAATTTGACTAATACAACTGAAGTTAATTATATAATTGATGATTAAGATGAAAAAAAGGAGAATCTAAATCATATAAGTGATCAAGAAGATTAAAATGAAGAGAGAAGAAGAAGAAATTAAGATAATAATGCTAATCCAACTCTTAAAAAAACTAAATCATTAAAAACATTAATAAAATAAAATGAAATTGAATAACAAATCTAAGAACCTATAAAAGAGTAAAATAGTAAAAAGAATTTGAAAGTGGCATTTTAAGAACCTGAATTTGAGAAAGAAGAATAAGAGTAAACTGAATAAAGACCTCATAGAACAGATTATAAAGGCATTTTGTATCATTTAACTAAACATAAAAGAATTTTCTTAAGTAAAAAGACAAAACCATCAAATTTAGTATTTATTAAGAAGATGATATCTAATTATAATAAAAGTTATTAAAGTCATGATAGAATAAAATTAATATAAAATAATGATGGTAGTTATTGTTTATTTAAAATGAATGTATAAAAATTCATTAAGAAATGTGATTCAAGAGATGAATCTTCAAGTGAACCTGATGATAAGTATATATTTATTGTTAATTATATTCTAGTGAATAATCAATTGTTTAATAAGGAAGATCACTTATGACTCTCTCTAACTTTCCATTTAGTGAAAGAAGAGATTAATCAGATGGAGATTCTGTAAGATTCAGAAATGATGTAAATAGTGATGAAGAGGAAATAGAAAATGAAAATGAAAATGATAATTCTGTTGAAGGTAATTTAATTATATCTATTATTAGCATCTAGTTCTGATGAAGAAGAAGGTAATCTAGAAAAAGTTAAATTGAAAATGAATGATGATGAAGAAGATTATATTGAATTATAAAAAATTATTGAGGAAGATGAATAAATTAATGAATTAGATGAAATTATGGAAACTCCATTATAAGTTTAATTACTTGATTAATAAGATTATTCAGATTAATCCCCTTGATATTATACAAATTTTACTTATAACATTAATTTAATATGAATCTTAACTCTTATGATTATTTACTAAATTAATCATCTATCATACTTATTTTTCAAATTTTTTTATTTTCTTTATATCTAAAAATAATCTAATTATATCTTTAAAAGTATATTCAGTTAATATATGTTATTAAATGATTATATCATTTTATTATAATGTCTTATTGTTTTTCTAGAATAGTAAACACTTTAAAATGAAAATTAAATTATCATAATTCTTATTAATTATATTAACTCAAATGATTCCTACAATTATTCATTTAGTGCAATTGATTGTGCACACATACTTTATGTATATCAATTTTGATTCAAAATCAATTGAAGAATTTTGGAACTAAATCAAGTATTTGACAAATATTAGCAATTTGTGCATGTACTCCTTCCTCCTTCCACAAATTGTTGAAGACATCAAATTCATTCGTAGAAGAGGATGGCTCATCAATATCCCAAGACATCATACTTTCACTCACTATGCATACTAGTGCATGAATCCAATTATATTCATAGTCATGACTATGTTTTGGACTATGTTTCTGATTGATCCAAAGTTGATCTTTGCTGATAGAGATATTAGTTAAATTGATATGGTCCTCATGTTTTATGTTCATGGAGGAAACTGGATCTTAATGTAAGAAATTTAACTATTTTTAGGTAACTCAACCAATTCGAAAAATAACCTCATTTAAAGATGAGAGTCAAAGGACTAATCTACTTTGTCTATGTTATACTTTATTTTGGAATTTATGGTATATATATATAATATATTTAAAATAGGCCTTCATTATTTGATTTATGAATAACATGTCTATGGCTTCCAAGCATTACTCTCTAAGTTCGAACTTGTCTCCATGTATGCCATTTTATTTGCCACACTATTTGGCTTGGATGTTCTTTACAATAAGGTGTTATTCAAGCCACGCCATAATTTTGTGTAAATCAAAAATCATTGACGTTCATTAACTAATTATAATATATCTTATAATATGTAATAATCGTTAATTATTATTAATAATTTTATTTATTATGTTAATTAAAATAATTATAATTAATATAATACTATATATGATCATCATTAATACAATAAATAGAATATACTAAATTCATTATTATAGATCGATCTCTTAGTAATAATAATTATAATTATTTAACTCATTTATGTAATTTGATAAATATAAAAGAATAATTAAATAATTAACAACAACAACTTATAAATCAAAATATAAATACCTTTTTCATCTATAAATAATAAAATAAGATAAAAGACATTTATAATATTGATACAGCAGTCAATAAATAAAATTATTATATATCAATAATCTATAGTATATTATTATCAAGTATGAAAGATAAGGAATAAATTAAAAGTATAAATTGATTATAACTTTATTGAATATATATTATTAAATGAATAACTTTTCTAATATAATTTTAGATAATCTTAAATCTATTCTAACTTTAAATAAAAAATGATTGATCTTCATTGTAAATTAGTATACATTTTTTCTTCTCTTAATGAAGGTAATTATTCTATTATATTTTCTATAAGTATTTTATATAGAAGAATCAACTTTAAATTCTTAAATAGTTATTATAAAATTCTTAAAAGTTTATAAATATATTAACTTAATATATAGTTATCAACAAATTCAGTCCAAGTTAAATGTTAATCTTCTTGTAGCACTACAATTAATTCTATCCTTCTCTTTATCATCTTTAGATTCTTTAATTTTTGTAGTTTAAATTGAAGGAGAATGAACCTTTGGTTATGGTGTTTACAAAAACTCTTTTTACTCTATTATTTTTGATTCTTCTCCCAAATTTGGTTTTTCAACAGAATTCTTTCCCTAGATAGAGAAACTTTCGAATAATTTTTCAATCTCTTTCCATGCTTCATTTATATCGATCTTATTTCTATTATAAAAGAACTGCTTTTTTTATTTCTTTCCTTTTGTTTCTCCTTCATCTCTCATTGGAGAATTATTCTTGGAAACTGATTCTTTAATTAAATTCTCAATCTCTTATTCGAATTCTTAGTTACTTTTCATTATTTTATTTTATTATTGATAAATTTTTATTAACAAAATTTGAGCATGTAATTAATCATAATATATTTATAATTAATTATTCAAAACTATATTAAACAGAATATGAAATAATCTTATTTATATGAATGACCAATAGATAATTCTTAAAATAATCTGTTAATATTCCTCTTAAAGTTATAAAATTTAATATAAAAAGCATTGCGAGCATTAATATTCATCTAAAATATAATATTAATTATTAAATATTTGTAATTAACATTTATGTGAAGGATATTAAAAATATAAGTATTTTAGAAGACTTTAATTATCTTATTAAAATAACTTCTATAATATGTGATAAATAAGCCAATATTTTTATTAGATTCTATTAATTGCTTAAATTATTAGTATTTTTCTTAATCTAATATTTTATTTACATCAAATAATATAAAATTTAGAATGAAAATGATTCTAATAGTTATTTAATTAATTTTTCAGAATAATGTTTAGTATTTATTTAGATAGAAACAATAATTTATTAGTATAAGAATAACGTTATTAATTAATGCTTATAGATTGATTCATAATAATGAAACAATTGTTTTGTATTAGTTTTATTATTTCATCAATTTATATTAAAAATTAATATTAACACACCACATCATGTCATTATTTGCTTCTTATGCAAAATTGAAAAGGAAGACATTTTGGGTTGTAAGATATGTTGAAGTGACACAAGATGTAATTATTACAATGAACATTAATAGGGAATATTGATGTATAGAGACAGAAAAGAGGATAAACAAAATAAAGCTGAATTTAGATTAATTCATTGCAAAGTGAAAGAATTATCAACAAATAATGGTTTTTAGATATAAATTTTTCATGGAGATGATTCATTGAAAATTATGGCTCACACAAATTAAGAGCATAAAAAAATTGTATAAGCAATCACTTAGATTAAATAAAAATCTGAATAGAAATAAGAAACTTAAGTTCAAGTACAAGAATAATATTAGTAAGTCAGATAAACTATAGTGCCTTCAATTATCATTTAATAAGTAAAACCACCTACATTTCAACCTGATAATGATTTGATTAAATAAGGTCAAGGGGATCAAATTAAAATGTAAGCATTACAAATGATAAAGAAATATGAGTCTCAATAGCTAACATTAATTAATGTCATTGATGGAATATTTTTTTATAAAACTGAAAAAGTAGAAAAAAATAATTAAGAAACTGAAAAGTAGTCAAATATCATAAGTCTAATTTCAGATGAAATAAAAAATGTTGGATATTTATTAACAATTGCTATAGCCATTATATTCTTTACTTTATTATCAATATTGGTCTATTTATTATTGAGTCTAGTAGATAATAGAACTTATACATATAGTATACTTATTACATTAAATATCATTATTTTACCATTGTTATTAAATAAATATAGTCCTCCAAAAAAGACAGAGAAAATACAATAATTTATGGTTTAATGTAAATGTCTAATGAATGTGGATTATAATGCTTTGGTTTATTTGATTGGTAAGTTTGAAGTTAGAAAAGATTGGACACCAAATCTATTATTAATAAATAATGATAAGAATTTAATTACAGCATTATATTCAAATTAATTGGTTGAAAAGTTTACTTAAGCAGTATTTTATGATGAAGATACTTTTTATGTGGTTGAACATTTTAATTTAAAAATTTTGAGATTATTTGTTATCAAATATCTCTTTGAAGAAGATAATCTAGAAGTTAGATGTATTACAGATAATACACAAATGTAGATATTGCCTTGTCTTAAACAATTTATCAAAATTCAAAAATAGAATCCAAAAAGCATTTTAATTGAATATCAAGCTTCTAAAACATCTATTGATTAGATATCTGTTATTTAATCAGAAATCATATACAAATAGCCTGATTATTCTAAAATTACTTAATCTCCAGTTTAATCCATCTCTGTTGAATAATAACCTTCATCTATTCTATCTAATTCTCCTAGATAAATATCACAATTTTAATAATTGCCTTAAAAACCATAATAATAATCACAATTATAGTAACCATAATAATAATAATAATAATAATAATAATAATAATAATAATAATAATAATAATAATAATAATAATAATAATAATAATAATAATAATAATAATAATAATAATAATAATAATAATAATAATAATAATAATAATAATAATAATAATAATAATAATAATAATAATAATAATAATAATAATAATAATAATAATAATAATAATAATAATAATAATAATAATAATAATAATAATAATAATAATAATAATAATAATAATAATAATAATAATAATAATAATAATAATAATAATAATAATAATAATAATAATAATAATAATAATAATAATAATAATAATAATAATAATAATAATAATAATAATAATAATAATAATAATAATAATAATAATAATAATAATAATAATAATAATAATAATAATAATAATAATAATAATAATAATAATAATAATAATAATAATAATAATAATAATAATAATAATAATAATAATAATAATAATAATAATAATAATAATAATAATAATAATAATAATAATAATAATAATAATAATAATAATAATAATAATAATAATAATAATAATAATAATAATAATAATAATAATAATAATAATAATAATAATAATAATAATAATAATAATAATAATAATAATAGTAATAATAATAGTAATAATATAGTCCTGAAATCTAAAAAATATTTGATTTAACTATCGAGGCAAAAAAATAATTAGAATCTGTTTATCCTTTAGGACCTTCTTGGTAATAGAAGGATGATAAAGGAGGATTCTAAATTCATACTAGATATGATGAAGCAACAGGTTAGACTATGAGTAGAGGAGAAGGGATATTACCTTATTCAATATAAGAGATATTTGAAATTATTGAGAAGGTTGAGAAGAGAGGGGATTATGATTCTCTCTTTGATTCAGTATATAAATTTATTTATGTTAGGGTTATATGGTTAAAAAATTGGATCTTGATACAGGTATAGTGTACTAAAGATTTAAGACTATTAAATTAGTAGTAAAATCAAGAGATTTTGTATTTGTAACAAGAATCTTTAGAGAAGAAAATAGATGGGTGGTTATTGCAAAATCAATTGAATATCCAGAATTACCTCCTATAAAAGATTCAGTAAGAGGGGATTTAAAGATAGCTGGATGGATTTTATAAAAAACAGAATAAGGAACAAAGACTTGTTTCATCACAATGGTAGATCCAAAAGGATCAATACCAGCTGCTATTGTTGCTAGTTCTGCTAAGGAATAAGGACAATGTGTAGAAAAAGTAAAGGTTCTATTAGATAAAAGAAATAAAAAGTGATGAATTAATTGTGAATTAATTTAAAAAGTTTATAATAATTCAAATTCGCGAATTCTTAAAATTATATATATATTTTTAAGAATTCCCACTTTCCCAAACTTAATTATTTATTATAAACTTAGTTCTAAATTTAATAATATGTAAAGAATACACCCAGAATAGGAAATGAAAGGTTTAAAGATAGTAAAATCTGCTACAACCAATATATCATCTAGAACCTTATAAAATAGAAAAGCTGTTGATTTAGTATTTGATGATATCTATTACACAGTTCAGAATGGAAAATGTATATATATTGAATATAAAATTAGCTGAAAGAGTGATTTTAGATCATGTATCTGGAATATGCCCAGGAGGATAAACTACAGCAATATTAGGGAGTTCTGGAGCTGGAAAAACGTCACTCTTAAATGTTTTAGCCTGCAGAATAATAAACAATAAGCATTGTAAGTTGACAGGTGAATTGTATGCAAATCAGGATAAATATAATTATGACAAGTTTAGTGAGTTTGCATCTTATGTAATGTAAAATGATGTTCTATTGGAAACTATGACTCCAAAAGAAGCCTTTACTTTTGTATCTAGTTTGAAATACAATGATGAAGAAACAAAAAAATTGAGAGTAGATGAAACAATAAAGAGTATGAGATTAGAGAAATGTTAGAATAGTAGAGTAGGAGGGGCAATGGTAAAAGGAATCAGTGGAGGAGAAAGAAAAAGAACATCTATTGGTTATGAATTAGTTTCAAATCCTAGTGTTATTCTTTTGGATGAACCTACTTCTGGTTTAGATTCATTTACTGCATTTTAAATTATGTATATAATTTTAATTGATAATTTAGACATTAATTAAAATTACTTGCCAAAGATTAGGACAAAACAATAATTTTTACAATCCATTAACCTAGTTCAGATATATTTTTATTGTTTGATAGAATTATGTTATTAGTTTAGGGTAGACTAATTTATTAAGGAGATAGAGGTAAAATTATTAGTTATTTCAAATCTTTTGGATTTGAATGTCCTACTCATTCTAATCCTATGGATTATTTAATATCTATTACTCATAGTGAAGATCCAAAGAATGTAGAGGCATATCCTCTTTATTATTAGAATTATGAATTGTAATTGGCAAGTGAAATTAGATAAGAAATTAATAATCGCAATCAATCAAGCATAGTATATAAATCGATTGAAACTACAATATCTTATTAGATAGGATTGTTAACAAAAAGATGTTTTGTGAATTTTAGTAGAGATGATATGTAAATGAAAGCTAGAATAGGATCAGCAATATTTTAAGGATTATTACATGGAGGAGTATTTTGGGAAGCTGCAAAGGATTCAGAGACAATTTCTGATGTTAGAAACATTGCAGGATCATTATATTTCCTATGTGTTAATTTTGCTATAGGAAGTATGATGTAAGTAGTACTAGGTTTTGCTGTTGAAAGAGAAGTATTTTTAAGAGAAGAAAATTCTAAATTATATTCAGCATTATCATATTTTATAGGAAAATAATTTGTAGAAGTCCCATTTTGTATACTTTAACCTTTGATTTTATAAATCATATCTTATTGGATGATAAGCTATAATGATTATGATGTCTCAATAGTCATAATCAATTTTTTTATATGTATTTTACTTTGTATTTGTGCAAATTCTTTGGGTTTGATGGCTGGTTGTGCATTTAGGGATATTAAATTAGCATTGACAGCTGTTCCTATTATTATGATGCCAGTAATATTATTATCTGGTTATATGGCAAATTCTAAGAATTTTCCAGTATGGTTTGGATGGTTACAATATTTGAGTCCAGTAAGGTATGCTTATGAGGCAATTTCATTAAATGAATTCACTCATCGTAGTTTCTAAATTGATCCAACAGATTTATATGATTTTCATATAGGAATGTGGAATTGTATTTATATACTAATTGGATTTATTGTTGGATTTAGAGTTTTTGCATATTTCTTTTTAAAAGGATTGAGAGAAAGACTATAATGAATTAATTCTTTTGTTAGATTATTAATTATTGTTTTTGGTATATGAATTGATTTTAACGATTTAAAGTTTTTATTTATATACAATATGAATAAATATGGTTAATTAATTGTTAATAAATTCAAATTTTGAAACATATATCATTAATTTATTTGACTAAAATATAAAGTAAATTAAAATTTGAATAATCTAAATTAAAATATTTATACAGATTATAAAATCTTAAATTTAATAATTAATAGATTCTAACATACAATATTATACCTTTTTTATTAGATATAAATATAATTATATTAATTCATATCATCTAAACAAAAATTATTTCAACTAATTAAAATTTCAATAACAATAAATTTAATTTTATATGAGCTACACACCACAGCAATAGGAAGAAATTAGAGCAGTTTATTAAAGAAATCAGCAACTTGAGATGCAAATTAAGGCTTCTCTGAATGAAGTACAGCAACTAAATCAAAGATTGCAAATGTAAGAACAAGCTTTCAAATAATCATAATAATAATTGAATTAGCAATTGTAAAAGCTATCACAAGATTTATCTATTAAAACTTAGTAGTTAGTTAATTCTGAATAACAATTCAAAAGATAATTGGATCATACTAATGAATAATTGAACATCGTTAAATAATAATCTCAATTGAGAATAGACTAACTTTCATAAGAATTAAAACTAAAAACCACTGCTTTTGATAAAGCATCTAATGAATTATAAGCAGCTAAACATGAAATATTGCTTTTATAGAAAAATGCTGAAAATTTGAATGTAGTTAAATCTTAATAACTTGTCTAATAAGATGCTAATGCCAAAAGAGTAATTGATGATTTGAATGATAAATTAAGACTCATTTCAGTTCAATCTCAAAAATAAATAGAACAATTATAATAAGAATTAGCTATAAAGAAATAAGAAATTGATCGACTCAATTAAGATCTTGTTTCTAAAAAGAATGAAATTTATTAATAATAATAAAAGATTGAAGCTACCAATATTGCTAAGAATAATTAGATTTCTTAATTGGAATCATTGTCAAAGAAATAATTGCAAGAATACAATGACAAACTCAATTAATTCTAATCATAAGCTTAAATGAGAATTGATTAACTCAATTAAGATATTAGTAATAAAACTGCTATGCTTGAAAAAGCAAATTAAGAGATTGCTCAAAAGAAACAAGAGATATAAAATAATAATAAACATTTTGAATAAGTTAGTAACTAATACCAATAAAAAATTTAAGAGATGATGGGTAGATTAAATGAACTTCAATTATAGACAGAGAAAGAATAAAATCAATTTGGAAGAACTAAAGAAGATTTCTAAGTCAAAGTGTAGAATTTATCTAGAGATTTAAGTATTTAATAACAATAAAGTAATTAATTTGCTTAGGCTATGTAAAAAGAGAATTAATAATTAAAATAAGAAATTATTAATTTATAATAACAAATAGCTTAAAGACATTAATAATATAGTGAATAGAAATCATAAGCAGATGCTTAGATCAATAAGTTAAATATAGAAATTAGTAAATTAAAGACTGATTTAGCAGTTAAAGAATAATAATTAGAATCAAGTGAATAACAATTCAATTAGTATAAGAATACAACAAGTAAATAGATAGATTCAATGATTTAATAATTTGAATAGAGATAAAGTGAAATTCATTAAGATAATGAAATTTAATCTAATAGGATAATTAGTTAAAATAAATAAATACTTGAGAAAACAGTTGAAGAACATAAGAAATAAATTGAATAATTGGATAAATTTTGGAATGACAAATATAAATAATTAAGTGAATAAGGTGGATAAGATTAATAGAGGATTACTTAATAATATTTAACAATAATTGCTGAGAATGAAAGAAAGTTTTAGAATTTATTTAAAAATTAAGAATAATCATATTTATCTTAATTGGAAGCTTAAGAATAACATTTTGAAATGCAAATAAATTAATTATCAAATTAATTAAAATAGATAAGTGGAGATAAGGAATCTTTGCATACATAATTGGTTACTGCTTAAGCATAATTAAGAGATTTTGATTAAAAAGTTAGAGAATTACATTATCATGGTTAAACAAAGTCAGAGTAGGCATATTTATAGATAAATGGATTATAAAGTAGTAAGGAAGGTAATGAATAAAAATTATTATTAAATAGAGTTGTTTGCATTTATAAAGGAGAAATAGATTGAGTATGATTCTAGAGTGTTTGAATTACAACAATAAATGTAAAGTTTAGCTAGTAATAAGGAGGCAATAGAGAAAGAATTGAGTTTGGAGAGAGTAGTAAAAGATGGTTTAAAAAAGGAGATTTTATAAATAACAAATTAATAGAAAATGAAGGATATGGAAATACGAAATGAGATATCTTTAAAGAATTCCGAAATAATTAAATTAAATAAAGAAGTAGAAAGATTGGATGGATTATTTAAATAAGCAACTTTGGAATTAAAGAGAATAAATGAATAGAATGAAGATTTAAAATTAATTGATGATTTTTAATTAAAAGAGAAAGATTTAGAGATATCTAAATTAAAATAAATAGAAATTGAATTGAAAAATAGAATTTAATAATTATAAAAATAATTATCAAATTAGGAATGGTAATTATAATAAGAAAATATTAAATTAAAATAATAAGTTAAAGATCTTAATAATGATTTAAGTATATTAAATACAAGAATTAATATGCTTAAAACATAAAATAAAGATGAATCAGAAAGATTTTAAGAATTATTATAATCTCATGATATAGAATTATAGAGTTGGGCAGAAAGATATAAAGATTAATCATAACAAATTGAAACTATGGCATAATAATTATTTACAGCTCAATAATAAAATAAATATAAAGAATAACTTATTTTTGAATATGATAAATTAAAATAAGAATTTGATTAATTGAATAGACAATATCAATTATTGTAAGAGAATAGTTTGAGAAATAGTAATATTAAGGAAAATGCAAAAAATGTAGAAATATAATAATTACAAGAACATTATGAATAATAAGTTATTTAATTTTAAAAAGAAATAGATTTTATGAGAGATAATAAAATTAATTAAAGATAAGATACATCAGTAATTGATTTTAGTGTATAAATTACTGCATTAAATGATCAATTAGTTAAGAAAAATAATGAAATTACAAATATTAGAATGTAAGCTAATAGGACAATAATGGAAAAAGATAATTAAATTATATTATTGTAAGAATAATTAGAATAATTGATATCAAAGGTAGATATTATAGAATATAATTAAAATGATTAAGCAGAAGCAATAGAGAAGGCAGAGAATTTAGAATTGATTTTGAATGAAAAAGATAAATTTATTGTTTAATTAAAAGAAGAATTAAAGAATTGTAAAGATTAAATATTAGAATTAGAAGAATAATTAAAAATTAGATAAAATTCATTAGATATGATATAATAATAAGCTTCTTTAATTTCTGAACTTAAATCTTAAGTAGAGAAAAGATAAGTAGAAAATCAATATAGTATTTAACCAAAACCAGTTTAATAATGTTTTACTAAAAGTATAAGAAGTTCTACTCATAGGATGAGTGGAAAGAAAAGTTAAACTAATGAAGAATCTTAAAAAGAAATCATTTCTTATGTATAAAAAGTAACTGATGTTTCATTTAAATAATAATCAAATTAATAAATAATATCAATTGTGAATCCATAAATAAGTGAGACTAGATAGATATTAAGATAATCATAAGAAGAAGTATAGTAAAGGAATCTATTAAATTAATCTATTATGGTATTATAATAAGAAATAAAGTAAGTTAAATTAAATTTATCAAATGAATAATAAGTATCAAGTTAATTAAGATTTGAATTATCTTAAGCTAATGCTAAAATTGAATAATTGTTAGTTGAATAGTCTTAATTGAAAAATAAATAATAATAAAATGGTATATATATTTCACTTACTATTTTATAGATAATTAAAATATTGACATATTAAATACGATGAATATGAAAACTTATGAATCAAATATGCAAAGTTTGAAATCTGAAAATCAAGATTTATAATAGAAATCAGCTGAATAAGAATTATAATTGAATACATTTTCATTAAGAATAAATGAACTTTAGAATGAAATAAAAAAGTAGAAAGAATAAATATAATAATTGAATGATTCAGAAAATTAAAAAGAAAATAAAATATTTGAATTATAAAGCATTGTTGATAGATTATAAAATAATCTAAAATCTGAATAATCTATTGTCAGATAAAAGTAATCTGAAGTTAAATAGATTACTTATTAATAAGAATAAATCTAATAAATGCTTTAATAGGAATATTAAGAAATAAAGAAAAATAATAATGAATTATCTTAATAAAAATTAAAATTAGAATTAGAGATTTAAGAATTAAAATCATAATTACAATAATCTTAAGTTACATAACAACTTTATGAGTCTAAAATTACTAAATTAAATACAGAAATAATATAAGTAAGAGAGAAATTAGTTTAATTTGAATAAATATAAATTTAAATTGAATAGAATAAGACTTAAATTAATTAAAATAGTGAATAATAATAATCATAATATTAATAATAAATTTAAGAATTAATAAATAAATTAGAAAAGTAATAATAATAAAATAATTTAAATTAATAATAATTAAATAATTAATTATAGATTCTTAATGAATAATATTAAGATGCAATTTTTAAATTTGAAAATAGTTAAGAATAAATTAAATACTTATAAAATAGTCTTACATAATAAAAGTAATAATATTTGAATGATATGAATGAAAATTCTTAGATATTATCAATAAGAAATTAAGAAAATTCAAATCTAAAAATATAGATTGATCATTTAACTTAATAATTGAATGCATACAAAGAATCTAATACAAATGTATAGAAATGGTAGACTTAAGTAGATATATTGTAAAAGTAATTACGTGAAGAAAAATTACAATAATAAGAGTAAATTATAATAATTATTATTTAAGTTTGAATAATTAATTGTAAAACTAATTATTTTAGTTTCAATAATCAAAACGTGAATGGCAAGATTTAATATAGAGATTGTAAGAAGATAATAATCAATTATAAACTAATCTCAATAGAGTTTTAACAGCCAGATCAGATAAAGAATAGATAGATAATTATTCACATTAATAAAATTAAAACATTTAAATAACTACAAATACTATTAAGACTTAATTCATGAGTAACACATAAGGATTATCATCAGAAAAGATATTAATTGAATTATAGATTGCTTAAGAAGAAAATGTCAAATTGATTAGTCAATTATAAGTTCTTTAATTGAATAATAAATAGTTAAATAAAGAGATTTAAGATTTTGATGAAAAACAAAAACAATTAGAAAATAGATATAAGGATTAATATTTGAGAGCTCAATTAGAACATGATCTTTCATTTAAAAAGATTGAATAAGAAAATGTGAAATTAATTAGTTAAGTTGAAGTATATTAGAAAAAGTAATAACAATAAGAAATTCTAATTGATGATTACATAGCATAGATTGAAAAATTAAATATTATTAATAATTAACTATAATCTTAGTTATTATTAGTTTAAAAGGATAATTCTAATTTTTATAAAGATTAAGATAAATAGATTTATAAATTGAGTGAAATCAATTAATAATTATTAACTTAAATAACATAATTAAATAATTAAAGGAATACAGATTAATTGTAAATAAAAGATTTAATGGTTATCAAATAAACATTAGATGAATAATTGAGTAAACATTCAGAAGAAATAATATCATTAAATGAAAGACTTAAAGATCTATCTGATTAAAATACTTAATTAACTCATATGAATTCAGAATATTTAAATTAAATAACTGGATTTTAAGTTTAGATTTCTGATTTGTAAAATAAATTATCACAAAATATATATGAATAAAAACCAAGATTTAGTGATTAATAACCTAGATAATCTACTTCTAATAATAGTAGATAAATTGAAGAATTAAATAATAAAATTATTAGTCTTAATAATTAAGTTAATATTTTGAATTAATAAAAATCTAATATTTAATAAGAATTGTTTTCAGTAAGAAAATAATTATAAAATGAATAGGATGATAAATTATCATAATAATCTAGATAAACTAGAACAAATTAATATAAAATATTAAGTGAAATGGAGGAAAGAATTAGATAATTGTAGTAATAACTTGAAGAGGAAAGATTAGGGAAATCAATGAATAATGGTGAAATTGAATTGAAAAATAGATAAATTATGATTTTAGAATAGAACAATAAAAAATTATAATAATAATTGGAATAAATGAATCTTTAGATAGAAGAGGAGAAAACTTTACTTTATAAGGAGATTGATTAATTATCTGAGTAAAATAAACGAACAAAATAATAGAAGAATTCTGAATATGATATAGAATATAGAAATTCAATTAAATAAAAGGAAACAATCTAGTAGGAATTAATTTAAGCAAATTAATTAATTAAGAAATAGTAGAGTCGTATAACAATTTTAGAAGATTAAATTACAAAATTAACTAATGGATCTATAGATATGGAAAGATAAAATAGATTTATAATTGAATTAGAAGAAAAACTTAAACTAAATTAACGTAAATATGAAATAGAAATTAAGGAACTTAAAAATGATAAACAATCTCTAAATTAATAATTAGAAAATGTTTAATATGAATTATAAGAAATTAAATCAAAATATCATATTGAAATAGAAAAAACAGAATAAAAATTATAAAAAGAAAATTAAAGATTTTCTTTATAATTAAATGATAAAGCAGCTTATTTGAGTTAATTAGAAGTTAAAAATAGATAATTAAAAGAAGAAATTTTGAATTAATAAGAAAGATATGATGAAAAATTAAGATAAGCTAATGAAAGAATAAAAGAAGTAACTGAAGATTTAGAGATTATGATTGATAATTATAAAAAAGAAAAATAAGTATTTAATAATATAATTATTATTTTAGTTAAGTTAGAAATGGGAAAAATAAAATGAAGATTTACGTAGACAATTATAATCATCAGTTGATGATATTAAAATAAAGACTGAAAGATTGAGTGTTGAAAAATATGAAAGAATGTCTTTAGATAGTAGAAAGTAGATTGAACAAATTTAATAATAATTAAATAATGAAATAAATGGATTGAAACAAGAAATTAGATAAAAAAATGAATAAATTAATTAGTTAAAATCTACTAATTAATCTCTTTAATAAAAATTGAATAAATTTGAAACATATATTAGAGATTTAGAAGATTAATTGTAATAATTTTCAAACAAAGAAGAGTAATTATTAAGAGAATTGAATTAATCAAAAAATTAATCTTTAGCAGATTCATTAAATGTAAAAGTAATTGCATTAGAAAACAATCTAGTTAAAGCATAATAAAGAGAAGAATAATTAATATAAAAAATAAGATAATTAGAAAATTAATAAAATTCAAATAGAAATAATTCTGATTATAGAAATTTAGAAATCAAAAACAATAATATGTTTGAAGAAATCTAAATTTTAGTTTAAACAATTAAAAGTTAAGATCAAGAAATTGCTAATTTAAAAAATGAATTAACTTCATATTAAAGAGAAGTATCATTCATGAAAGAGGTTGTTAAGGAAGATACTAGTAGATTAGAGACATCTATTTTAGATGATAAAAATAGAAGAATAGTAGAATTAGAGAATAAGTGTGCATTACTTGCTAATGAAAACACTAGACTCAATTAATTAAAAGTATTATATTTTTATTAAATTATTAGATGAAATAAGTTGATGAATGGAAATTAAAATATGATAAATTACAATTGGAATTAGAGAAAAGTTTAAATATGAAAGGTTGGGATGATCAATCAAGAAATATTGTAATGTCTAGTAATTTTGGATATTTATCCAATGTTAAATGAAATATATAAATATATTAAAAGTTATTTCTATATCTTTTTACTTATTTTTAATCAATTAAATAAATTTCTTCATTCTAATAAATAGAGTTTCCTATTTTTTTCATTTTATCTTTTTCTCCAATAATAATATCCAATACCCAAACATATTAAAATCACAAATATAAGTACCCATATTTACCAGAATGTGAAGTAATCATATACTACATCTATTTATACTAATTAAACTGTTGAAGTGAATCCATTAGAAACATTAAATTAGATTTCTTGATTCTCTATTTTTCCATTTATACATAATTTTAAATCATCATTAAGAATATATTTATTATAGAATTTCTCTTTCTTCTCATTTAAACTATATAAAAAGACCTAAAAATAAATTAATTTAAATACTTCATTAATTTCACTTATTATTTCGAAATTAGAATCTGATTAAGCTTAAACTTAAATTCCTCCAATTTATGTAATAACTTCTTATTATCCTTATTTATATAATGTTAAGATGCTTTATTCATCCTTTTTATATTAAATTATCACCTTATTTTTATAGCTAATTGATTTTACAGCAATCCAATCTGCATAATTTTAGAATACAATTAATTTATCTTTTTATATACTTATTTTTGGAGTAAATTCAAATAGTATTTAAAAATGTAAATATGTTTAAGAAATAAACAAAAACTCTTACTTTATTGTTTCATTTATTTTATTAGAACTAATTATGTGTAAATTTAACCATTCTTCTTATACTTTTTAAAATCCATGATTTTCTATGATTTTATTAATATCAATCATATATTTCTATTAATTAATTTATTAAATAGATGATTTTGGATCTAATTGTAAAATATTTAATTAAAAGTCATAATAATAAATATAATAAAAAGGTTTAATTTCTATGATATTCAAATAATATCCTGGTAATTGTATATTTATAACTAATTGACATTCATTTAATTTAAAATTTTCATTAGAACATTTATAAAAACTAATTTAAAATTTTTCAATCAAAAACAAATCTTAACCAAATAAAGCAATATTTAATAGTTTAGAATTTATGATTAAATTCTCTTAATCAATTTTAAAAGTATTATTTATATATTTCCATTAAATTATATATAAGGATTCTTATATAATGCATTTTAAAAGAATCTTTGAAGAAGATTAATACAATATTTAAGTGCATTTATAATCAAATTGTATTTCTTAAATGATTTATTTGTTAGCTTTTTATAATATAGTAAATTTATTTTGATACAAAATGATCATTGAATTAAGATCCAATTCTTTAATATCTAAACCAGCTTCAACATAATTTATTTCATTTATATTTAGATATGGTTTTAATTAAATTTCATTATTACAATCTCTACATTTGATTTCTATGTTTGTTACAATTGAATTTTGAATCCAATCATCTGAAATTTTATCACAAAAGTCTTAATATTTTTTACTTAATCTTGTAGTCACATTAATATCATCTTGATTAAGTTGAATTGATGTTTACATGTTTCTAATAGTTTCAACTGAAGATAGTATAATATTCTAATTCTAATTTTATATATATGTTGTCATATTAATTTGACCTATAAAAATTGTATTTAACATTTTACAATTTGATGAAAATTAGAATTGATCATAAAATTCAATAATAGTATTCTCTTTTATAAATAGTTTATTATTAAAGGCAGCCAGAAATCTTTCTTCAAAATTATCAAATACATGCCATAATGAATTAACATTTAATTTATTTATATTATAAACTAAAAGTTTATTATCAGAGATAATGTAAATCCATCCATCATATGTATATCTTATTGCAGTATTCATTTTATAACCAAATGAATACAATTATCTGACAAAATGAATATTCTCTTATTGAGTCATATCATATATTAAATATTGATTGTCTATCATTATTGCAAAGTATTTTTCAAATATTAAAATATCTTAAACTTTATTCTCAAATTTTAAGATATCAATTATAGAAAATCCAATCAAAGAACAACTTAAAATAATTACTTCAGTATCATTCTAATTTCTAACAAATACTATGTTACTGTATTGATTAGCATGAATGTTTGAAGGTGTCCATTATTTCACTCCCAAATCCTATATAGTCTAGACATTAATCTCAAATAGATTCATTAAATCAATATAAGAATAATAGTAGGCTGCGATTGTAGAATTAGTTAATGATAAATAAAGTAGAACTTCTTTGCTTTTTTAAATTTTATCAACTTAATATTTAGTAGTGAAGATATTATTGAATAATTTTTTATTTTAAACTTAATAAACTTAAATAGAATATGGTTCTATTTATGGATATGCTATAAACATAGTATTAGATGAAGTCCAAGTACATGAATTATTTTACCTTAAATAATCTAATTTTTTCATTATTTCAAATATCTAACAAGTTGAATTAGCAACTGAACAATATGTTAATTGAACCCAATCATTATTAAATTATTTAACTACCAAATATTCTTATTCTATTTATTCAACTTAAAATAAAGTTAAAGAATTATTGCTTGGTTGAATCTATATTATTTACTAATCAAATTTTTTGATTATTATATTAAGATTGACTAGAGTATTGGAAATATTTAATATTCTTAATTATAAGTTCTATCCATAAATAGCTTAATCATTTATTTAAATTTTAGCATCTTTTGGATATGTAGGTATGGCACCAGAAAATAAACTTTGATTAGTTTCTGATAAGAATATTCTTTCAGTATCTGTTGAAATTGTTGAATGATATATTTATAATATGCATTTCTCATTATTAGATAGATATTAAATAAGTTAGGATACATGTGTATCTTCATATATTTACTTTGATTTAAAGATTAAAGTATGCTACTTGATTAGTAGATATCTTCCAATATTATTTTATTTAATAACTATTATATCATCTTATGTGTAATCATTTAATATGAACTTTAAATTTGATACTTCTATTTAAGAGATACTATTTAATTATTAATCAAATGTTCTTATTATTGTATTTTATGATAATGTAAATATTACAGATTATGTAATATAAATTTAATCAATTGAAGTGTTAAGGGTTAATGAAAATTAATTTGTAAGACTCTAAAATAGAATTTTTTCTCCAAAGTTTATAACATAAGTACCAATTTTGAAATTAAAATCAAATGATTTTGCATTTTGTCCATGTTAAAATTCATGCAATAATTTCCATTAGGTTTCACGTTTTGAATAATTTAATACTAAAATACATCCATCATAATTCAAAATTGCTATTTAACCTACTGTGCTTATACGAAAATCAACTATCTATAGATTTTATGTATTAGAAGTTAAGTACTTAAGAGTATTTGTATCAATATAATATTCCAATGTACCTTATTGATTAAATACTTCTAAGACTGAATCATATTATGATTGATCCTTATTATAAAGTGATGCTCTAAATAATTATTAATTAGCAACCAATAATTTTCTTTTAATAGTAGAAGTATAACCAATTAAGTTATCATTTTCACTTTTCATAAATGTTTGAGTTTCATCATTCCAAAAAAACATAATATTTTACATTCCTCCATTTTGTTCTACATAAGCACAATCAGCTACAATAATTGAATTAGATAAAAATGCTAAATCATAACAAATATCTGCATCTATTTCTGTGCTGAATTTATCAAATATAGGTATTCTACTATGCTAACCTGTATTTATTTAGTTACTAATAGAGATTTTATATTTCAAATTATTTTTTACCAATGCTGTAAATCTATTCTTCCATTCATAACTTAGATCTTATAATAAAACATTAATAGCCAAAATTGAAGAGGAATCATTATCGACTTATTCCAATAATTTTATTGGATTAATATAACTAAGAGTTTCTGATTAGTCTATTATTGAAACATTGCTAAAATCTCTGTTTATAAATATATCTTCATATTTCAACATTACTTATTCGTTTTAAGTAGAGTAAATTTGAATTGAGTCTCTTTGAAATTGAGTACATCCTGATGATGTATACACCATTAATAATAGTACAATCATAAAAACCATATATTAATATTTATATCAACATTAATCAATTTTTGCAACCTAACTTCTCTAATATATTTAATATCGTTTATTCATATTGGCCTTAACAAAATATTAACTAAGGACTAATTGACATAAAGTGTTTTTGCAAACCTAATTTACATTATTTGTTAAGATTTCTCAATGATAATTATTCTTCAAGTTTATCATTCTTATAAATTAGAATCTACATCATATAACCTAAATTTCATATAAATAATTACATGTTTTATATAGACTTATCAAAATTAAGTTTTACTTCAAATAAAATAATACAGATTTTATAAATCTCTACTTTTTAACAGACCTGTAAATTTTAATAACATGATCAACTAATAAACACCTTATGTGATTCTCCATTATATACACATATAAATTATTTTTAATAAAATCTAAAGAATATTAAAATGTATTTGGCATATTGTAAATACACTCTACTAATAAATTATTCTTATCCTTAAATGTCAAATTTAAATTTAATTAATAGACATCAATATCTATGTCATTTACAATCAATGTTGTTATATATATTGGTTAAATTTCATGGGAATTCTCAGGAGAATATTCTAAAGAATCTTATTCTTATAAAGGTGTATTAATTATTTAGGATGTGAACAATTCTCCCTAAAATCCTGTACTTTATTAAAACTTTACAGTTTAATTCTCTTCATTTTAAATATCTATATATTAAATATTTTATTGTATTTGATCTTCATTTTGTTTTTAAACTTATTATGATTAGATGTTATTATTTTCTTCTTCTATTATTTACTCCAAATTTTGAACTGATGATTAAATTTCTTAATCATTATTATTTATAAAATTGTTTTGAGTTGAACTATCTATTTAATTAATAATTTATTAAGTTAGAGTATAATTGTTATCAATACTTTTGTAAGGCTAAAAATCATCTTTAAAATCTTAGTGTTGGGTTTCTTAATTAATTAATTATTTTGAGTCATCTTTATTCTCAGTTTATTTTAATTAATCATCATTTAGTATTTATTCTTTCATTGCCTAGTTTATATTATGATTCTCTTTTTTCTTTTATATTTCTAAACTAATATCAATATTAGTTTAATTTTAAGTATCATCTATCTTTTAAACTAATGAATTTAATCCTATTTATTCTTCTTTAAAATCAATATCATTTAAAACATTTTATTCCTCAGAATTATTGATATGAACATTGAATTCTTCATCTTAATGTTTATCTGATACAACAGATTCTTAATTATTTAATTATTAAATTTCTTTGTCCTTATCTTCCAAATAGATTAACTCCATCTATACTTATTAATTATTAATTTGAGATTCATCTTATTATTGAATGTCTTATTTTTAATCTTGCTCATTGTTAACTTTAATAATTGAATTCTATTATGTTTAAGATTAATCATTTTCATATTATTACTCTTCCTTATTCTCAATAAAATTATCTTAATCAATTTATTTCTATTCCTCAACTACACTATCTTATATATCTACAATATCTTGATTAATATTATTTTATTCATTATTATTAGGATGAGAATCTGTATGTATTTATTAAATTTATATAATTTCTATTTCTAATTCAATATTTTAGATACTTTAGTCTTTCTTGATTTACTCATTTTAGTTTTCACTATTATGTTCTGATAATGATGGTTATTCTTAAAGTTCATTTGAATGTTACTTGATCAATGATGTTTTTGATATTTCATCGACTACTACTTATAAATTATTTTAATCATTATTATTTTCTATTGATTCATTATTATCCAATTTTTTATTTGATTAAATCTATTATTAATCTTAATTTTCAATTTAAAAAGCTTCTTATTTAAATATAACTACTTAATATTTATTACTTAAAATCTATGAAATTGAAATTGAAATTTATAAAAGTAATCTTTCAATATATATAATATTTTCTTAATCTAAATCAAGCTTAATTTAATTGTTTTTAATATGTATAATATTGATTATTTAATTAGTAATCAAATCTATTAAAATATTGAATTCATAAGAATCCTTAGTAATTTCTTCATTTAATATTGATTAACAATTATTAATATTTAAATAAAATCTAAAATCCTATTTATGCTTTCCTTTTCTCTCTATTAATAATATTCTAATTCTTTTTAATTAATAAGAATAGTTAGATATAATTATAAATCCATGATCATCTATATACTTTATTTTGTTATCATTGTGTCCTATTTAAAATTTATCCTTATTTTTTATAAGTTTTAATTATTTTTACCACCATTTTTAAATTGTAATAATCTTTTTCAATTTTTCTAATTTTTTATTTTTCCATTCTTTAAATCTTTTTTATGCTATCCATCTTTTAACTTATGCTTGAATAATTGTTGCTGCTTTATACCTAATATATTTTTTATTTAGATTTCTATTAGTTTTTATTACTACTTAAGAATTATTATTCTTTTCTATCATTTTTACTGATTCAATTCTCTTCTATAAATTTTATATTTCTTCTATCTTTACTTATTTAATCCTAATTAAAATTTATATCATACTTTTCAAGTTCTTAAATACTTTATTTACAAAAATTTAGTCTCTCATGTTTATTTTTTTCTTTAAATTCATCATTACTCGATCTTTATGTTACAGATGCTTTTTTCGGATAATCACTTTAAACTTAAGACACATCTCTGTTTTAGATTTCTTAGAATAAGTTGGAATATTTGGTTGTTAGAGGTAAAATCTAGAAATCTGATAAGGAGACAACTGCTCTTCTTACAGTTTCAATCTTTTTAGGATTAGGTTTTCTTTAAGGCAATAACTTCATAGTTGATATAGAAGAAAACATTGTTTTATTTAGGTTACTAAGGTTGGTAGAGTTATTAGTTTTGAATAAAATTTACTTACCTTTCACTTCAAAGAACTCTGGCTTCAAACCATAAGACTTCATGTAAGGTTAGATTTTCTTTGATATTAGTTTTCTGTTTGATTTACTTTATTAAGACTCGACATAATCTTAGACTTGGACTTAGATTAATGAATTATTATTCATAATATAAATCAAAAGTAAAGAGGTTTTTTATATTTTTAGGGTGTGGCCAATCGTTGGATTTCACATTTCAAATTTTACACTTCACTTTATAATTCATTGTATAGACACTTAAACAAAACCTTTTACTTTTGGAGTTTATGTTTCATCTTTGCATTTTGTAACATATAATACTTCATTTTCCACTTCAAATGCTCTATTGAGTCTTTCAGTTAAAATATTAATAGTTTAATCCTTTTCTTTCATTTTTTGAACAGGCTTTGCAACTGGCTTAATAGAACTCTTGCATTGCAAATATTCACTTTTCTCACTACGTGTATTTCGGCTACTCTTTCTAACACTCTCACTTCGTTTAATTTAAGATCTCAAATTATCTATCTTCTTTTCTTGTCTTCTTATTGTTTCTATTAATAACATGGTGGACATCTGTTAAATTAAAATTTATTATTAATTTATAACCAAAACCCATTCATTTCATAATTAGATCATCAAACACTCAAAAAAATCAGATATACAATCTATTTATATCATTTTGTATTAAACTTATTATATCAAAAAGTTTAAACAAATTAATTCATTATATTAGGATCTTGCATTGTGCTCATTGCTTCTAAATATATATAACAAAGACATCACAATTAAGATACAAGTTAACTAATTATCATAATTGAACAATTACTATCAACATTTATGATCAAAATGTAGTTTAATAATATTCCTGCATTTATTTTGGATTACTATTTAAAATATTATGAGTGATTGTAATGGAAAGCAATTTGACAGTGACGATAGTAGTATATATATATTTTCAATACTTAGACATTTATGAAGTTGAATTTGTGTATGGTAAGAAAATGTTCAAAAAAAAGACATTATATGCTGTTAAATGGTTAGGATGGACTAAATCTTAAATGTCTTGGGAGCCTTTTACTAATTTTACTCCTATTTCAAGTTATCTTGTAAGGTATCTATAACATATCTAATATTTATAGACGCTTAGAAACTAAACTATGTTATGCTTAATATTACAAAAAGATTGCTCCTAATTCAGGAGGTATACGAGTACATATCAAAGGAAAATTTTGTTAAGTCTAATAGATTGATACTACTATATAACAAAAGACTATTGAATGTGAAAAGAAGATTGTATCTCACTCTTCTGATACCTAAGATATTTATGATAAAGCATAGAAGATCATAACTTAAATGAAATAGAATCTTTTATGTTCATATAATAGGAAGTAACATCTAAAAGGTTAAAAGAAAGTAATTAAATAAAATAATCATTTTTAAAAAATTATAAATTCTTAAGAAAAGAACTAAACAACATCTAGCGTTACTATATAAGGATAAGGGAAATAAATACAGAAGTAGATTAATAAAAAATAAAAATTAAATAATAAGAAGATAATTGATTAAGAGTTAGAAAGAGATATTTAATTTTTGATTAAATATGAAAAATAAACAAAAAAACTTAAATAAGCAAATGATCAATAAATTTAAAATAAAAATGATAATTTTTAAAATAATAAAGATGATAAATAATAATAATAATAATAATAATAATAA